AAAAATTAAGATATGATTTTTGTAATTTTAAATAAAATAATGTGATATAACAAAGCTTATAGAAATTAAATTAAAACGTTACAAAATTATTTATATAATATATAAATACTTTAAAATTATGAACATACATGTATTTTTAGTTTCTATTGACAATTATGCAATTTCTGTTTAATACTTTTTAAAGACTGCTTTAACTATAGGGAAGAATAGGTTAGGGGAGTTTGAAAGAATTTTAAATTCGACTGGACCAGATCATATAAAAGCAAATGAAATGTAAGAAAAAACGTATTTTCAATGTTAGATATAAAAATAATAGGTAAAAAATAAAATAAACAATACTTCAGAAATCAGTAAACATTAATTATGTTATTATTTATGAGTAAAGTGCTTAAGTCGCTTTTAAAATTCCAAACCCCAAAAACACTAATTGTAGGTTACTTTTTAAAAAATTACATAATAATAAACCTATTTTGTATAGTTTTGATTGAGTTTGTTTTAAACTCAACTCAATCAAAGGTGCATGTATAAAGCAGAAGAGAAAGCTCGTTTTTTTTTCAATACAACAATTTATAAACTTGAGAGTATTTGGGATGTTCTAATAAACTTACGAGCAAAATACATTGTGTAAAATATTATAATAAATAAATTATACATTTATAGATGAAATCCCTTTTTGATTTCTGGAAATAGACCGACATGGATTACATTTTATGATGTCTCTCTCTTCAATAGAAATTTTAGTGCACACAAAAGTAGTTAGCACTTTCATTTCAGTCGAAGAACACACACAAGCTTCATGCTATTTATCGTCAAACACTTAAATATCCACTCTTTCAGAGACAGCTCATGCAACAAATTTTTATTCTATTTTGTTATTTTTTTCATAAAAAATTAACACAATGCAATTTCTTTTATAGTGTATTACATCAAAGCCCTTATGTTAATGAACTACGCAAACGAAAATAACTTGTTTCTTTTAACTCTCTAAAATATCAGGTAATTTTTTTAAATAAACATATTTTAATATCGAAATAATTATGATGCAAATTATCTTTTTTAAACCTAAACGCTTGTTTCGGTCATGTAAATTAAAATTTCCCTTTTTATGAATAGTCCATTGATACGGGGAGGGCTTAATAGTAATTTTAGTTATAAAAAGATAGTTTATGTGGAAACACGAAGAAGGGGAAGGTGATAATAGAATGGGCCCAACAACATGGGCCGTATATTTAGTAAATTTGTAAATAGCTCTTGACAGATTTATTTAATTTAATAATGATTTTAATATATTATAATTTATAATTAAATCAAATAACACGCTTGTTTAAATGTGATGCTACACGGAATGGTAAAACTAATGTGTTTTTTACAAAATAAATTGTGAAAAGGAAAAATACATCTCAATCAATTAGAGATCATCACAATATAATTTACAAATAGTTTGCAGGAAAAAAGTTTTCTTAACAATTTTTTTTATAACTTTTTTACAATAATATTTATGATCGGTCTATTTTAAATATACAAACTACACACCTGTTATAAAAAAATTGTTAAAAAAATTGTTAAAATATGATTATCGTAATTTGTACTATAATCAAATCAATTCCAACCACATGTATAAAAACTGTTTCAAAATCATAAATCTCAATGACCATCAGATTTCACATTCTATCAGCCTTTTAAAAGTCGAATTCGTCAATGACATTAATCCAGGCTTCCCGAAGTAGTGTGTTTTAAGGATAGAGGCATGATTTTCAAATACCAGACACTAAACACTTGTTATTTATCTTACTATTTATCTTTATCACGTTAATCCCTATTTTTCTTTATCTCTTTACACGGTGATTTGTTATTGAAAGTTTCCAAATATGTTTCCTTGGAAGAGGCCTGATTAACTGCCATCAACAGCATAAAAAAGCCGCACTCAGAATCGGTAAATTCAACGAGATAGAGCTTTAATACAAAGCAACCAAGCAGAAGATCCGGGTTTAAAAAACCAAAAAGATCCAAACGTTACAAGTCTTTCATGATATATATCTATATAAAAATAATTAAATTATAATTTTTAATATATATATATATATATTATATATTGGTCACTTTTTCTGGGACAGTTCAAAACAAAACAGCATATATAATATAGAAACATTTTTATATATTCATATGTAATTGATAGTATCTATATATATAGTTCACAGTTTATTTATATTACCTTAATATAATACATATATACTGTTAACCATTTCAGAACTTGAATTCTAGGGGTCGTTGATTCTTCCCAGACCTGTGGTGGCAAGTTTGTTGACTAGAGCAAGAGCGTTGCTGGTGATGTAAGACACATTCTGAACACGGTTTTGCAGCACTTTAACGTGCTTCTCATTTTCTCCTTCAAACCCTTCCAGGCAAGTTTCTTCATCGGTGAGTGCTGCACTGATCCACGTGTTCAGGTCCCCCATTTGGGTGCTAAACGTGCTTTTGCTTAGCCTCCTAAGCACACCAAGTGATCTGTGAAGCTCGTCAAGGGCATAGGAAAAACATTCAACACAATCTGAAAGGGCAACTTTGTTTCTTCCCTTCATGTGTCCATGCTTCTTCAATTCTGCAAGATACGCTTTAACATTCTTAACCTCGCCAATGGACACTGACACTCCCGCACGTGCCCACTTGCTAGGGCTTCTTCCAGCAGTGTTGGAGAATTGTGACAGAGAGTGAATACAAAGGCTTTGATACCTCGCACATGCAAGCTCTGGGACATTATCCTTCCTTTTGCAAATACCTTTGCCAGTGCTTGTAGAAGTGAAGAACAATAGAACAGAACATAGGCGTGAGGTAAAGTGAATCATTGTGGATGAAGAGTTTGCAAGTTGAAGGACACGATAGAAGGTAAATGTGGTGGTGATGATAGTTTTGTTCCAAGAACAGAAGGTTGTAAAGGATTCAGAAAAGTGTGAGATTTAGCTTTGAAGGTGGAGTATTTAAAAGCGCATGTTATGTTTCACTTTATGGACTTTTTCTAGAGGGAACTGTTGCGTAGGCATGAGGCTAGTGAGTGCAATTAAGAAAAGGGATACGGGTGATGAAACGAAATATATGGGAAAAGTTAGGAACATGTGAACAGAAAGTGAGTTTCGCACTTGTCATGATAAGCATAACCCGGTTTTGTTACTGTTTGTTTCTGTGTTGATCAATCTTCCATTGATGGTAAACAGGTTGTTATTATATAGGTTAAATGAACTTCTTGAGAGGTTTATGTTTTAAATAAATAATATTTAACTTCCTCATAATATTAATAAAGTAGCACTCATTTTTATATTGGTGTAATTCATTGGCAAATATATTTTGTATAATGAATAGTTGTGTGGAAAAAAACAAAAGTTGTCAAACATTAATTATGCTGTTTGTTGGACAAAAATCATGGGAAATCAGATTGCAATGCAGAAGGTCAAGGCTACCAACAGTATGATGACTACATATCTAACTCCATTACACGTGGTGTGATGTATATATGATGACTACATTACATGGTTAGGGTGCCAAACTCCATATCTAACTCCCACATAGAAACCAGTTTTAATGAATATGTCAGCTTACAACAGTTCAATCATTTAACATGGATGGAAGAACAACTTTTTCTGATAAATTTTCCACACTGTTCATTCTGTTAGTGCAGCCAACCAAAGTAATATTAAAACGTGGGGAAACAGACTCTATCATGTGGAAGAACCAAAAAATTCAAGCAAAACATTGTGTATAAACTTGTACTATGTTGTCCAGCCTAACAAGTGCATCGGTTAAGTAGGAACAGCAAGAAGGTAGAGAAAGGATTTCAATCTGGTAATTCGTAGTAAGTTGAAAAAAATCTTTGAAAGTTTCATCTGCTACTGTAGATAGAACGTTAATCTTGATGAATTGTCAATGTAAATCACACAAAATGAACAAGTTTGATGGAAGTAAAAGAAGGAAGAGTATGACAAAGAAAAAAAAAAGGTAATTAAATTATTCATATTTAAGTAATTGAAAATATTTTATATGGATTAAAATAAAAGTGATTCCTATATATAAGCAAAAAAAAATCATAAACATACTTAATGTTGTTTGTAAAGTGCACAAGGGAAGGTAAAGGAGGTGGAAAGGAACATCCAAGGAAAAAATAATATTGGAAAGATTTTATAGCTAATCTAGATTAATCTTAATTAACTAGAAGAACGACGTTAGCTTTGTTAAAAAAATAAAAAACTCATTTAATAAAAAAGTATAAAAATAAATCTAAGTATGTGACTAAATTATTAATTAAGTAAACTTTAATTAAATTTAAACGTATTAATTTAATTTAAAAAATAAAAAAGAGAGAGGGCAAAGATAGAGAAGGTGGTAGTTTGGTAATTTAGGGTGGTAGCAGGGGAAGCGGGTTGAAGTGGTAAGAAGCAGGAAGATCAGAGATCGAGAGAGAAAGAGAGACAATGGCGTCAGGCTGGGGACTTACAGGACAAGCAAAGGTCGGTGCTCGATTTCTGGTGGATTTCAGCGAAATGAATGTCTCGCTGCGAGAACCACGGATTGTGGTATCTCCGTGAGGACCCGAGATGCCTCACCTTCCCAAAGAGGTGTTTCCATAGACTCCCTTGGTTAGTTCCCCTTTCGTTTATCGCATACGAACTTCCTTTATCCAATCTGTAATTCGACTATATTCTTTAATCTCGTTGCAATCCTGTTTGATTTCCGTGCACGGCTTCGGCTTTCTTCATTCTTCATCTATCTTTCCCTTTACTTAGATCGCCTTTTGTGGGTTCCTCTTGTCTTTGGGAATCTTGTATTGTTGTTGAGTGATTAAAACTATCTCGAACGGAGAGACGGTGAAGAAAGTGTTCGCAAAAACTTGTATTTCAGTCTTGACTGTCTTTGCAGATTTCAAACTTTTAACGATCTTATGTGATATTACACTAGAGAAATCTTATAAGACAATATAATAACTAATATATTACCTACAAAATTATGTTTTTATTGTCCAAGTCTGGCCATAACATTTAATGAGTTCGGCAGTGGATTCATATTCATCTTAATTACACATGCATAGCTTATGTCTCCCATTCCATCCTTTGTTTCACACTGGTAAAACAAAATTAATTAAATTTTGTAATGATATTTAAAGATAATTTTTTTTTGACAAAAAATGAGTACAATAATATTCTTTATAAATCGTATAAAAAAATCATATTCCTAAAAGGATATTTAATTAAAAGTGAAAAATTATAAATTATTCTTTATACTAATTTTTCTTGTTAATAGGTTTTGAGACTATTTTGTCAATAAAATATAATTTTAAGAATGAACTTGATAATAGATTATAAATTATTTTGCTATTAAGATATAATATTTGAATGTAAACAAAATTACAAATAAGTGATGAAAATAAAGAGCGATTGGAATATAAATAAAAATTGTGTACCTTATATAAGAGTGATTTAATATAAGATAGAAAAGGTAGAATACAATGAAAAATAAAGTTAATGAATACATGTAAGTTCGGTCAATACAATACGATATGTAATACTATACTTATAAATCTGATAAAAAAAATATGTAAAAAATGGTACATAATTCTTTGGTCGGCCTACATTGACATTCTAGAAAAAAATTAATAAACATTTTGCAGGCATTTAGGTTTTGTTTCCTTGAATGGATTTTGGGGAGGGTGATTGAGGGGATTTGAAGATAAATTTTGTTATTGTTTATTTGAGTGGATCCGGAAGTAAGTGAAGTAAGTGAAGAGTTGATTTGTAAGTAAATTTTTCTAATCTGTCACATCAATCAAATCCTATATTAATTATCATAAACTTTATTTTCAAATTCATTCTCATTTACTTCCAAACCTAGTCAAATATACAACAAAAAAGTTTACCTTTAAATCCTCTAAAATCTCCTCGATCACTCTCTTTTAAATATATCCATGTAAACAAAACCTTAAAGATGATCAATTATGTTGAAATGCATCAACACCATGAGATCAATAAAATTTGGATTTTATGTTTTTCAATCTATAACAAAATAATTGACGAAAAAGGGTAAATTTATGAATAACAGAGTAACTTTATTTCTTTTTTTTTCTTGTCTGTCAAACTAAATTTATATAATTTAAACTCTTATTTCAATTTAACCAAAAAAAAAATAACATTATCTCATTTGTTGTATTTATCTTTTTCTTTCTCTTTCACTCCCTCAATTTTATTCGCACCATTTCATCATCATTCAAATAAATAATAAGAGTCCGTCGTTGGAATAGAAAGAAAGATGAGTGGTTGATAGTAAAAATGAAAGGATGAAAAATAGAGGGGAGTATTGTCAGTTATAATTATTTTACCTAAACAAATTTCTATATAGTTTTTATAATAGGAAACCAAATTTCAAAATGTCAAATATTTTACTGTAAAACATCAGAGGTCACCAATAATAAGATCATGGAAGAGTATAAAAGCATGGAGGCATACATGAAGGTGGTTGAGAGCCCTAATTTCTCAATCCCCTTTTAAGCCTACCTAGGAGAATCCCTTACCTTCTTCAAGCTTTAAGAATTTTGAAAGTTGATGCTGAGAAAAGGAAGCTATGATCATATCTATGATGGTGGTTACTTCTCTAATCTTCAATCTTCTTTTAATTAATCGCTATTCACATGCCACATTAAATTATTTTAGACACTCACTTCTACTAGTTCTTATAAATCAACTTTTAATAATATCATATATAAGAAAAAAACATGTATACAAATTGAAAGAGGTGATTTTAACAAATCATTAATAAATAATACGTAATGTATACAGTGATTATGTTATATATATGTATGCGTGTGTGTTTATAATTTTTTTAAGTGCAGGATTAAGTATGTTTCAATCCTTGTAAACATGAAACTGATATTCGTTTTTATTTATATATATTTTATTCTTAAATTTAAAATATAAGTAAAATATAACTTTTTAATTCAATAAAATTAATTATTTTAGATGTTAACAGTATTTTAAATTGACATTAAAATTAAAATGTATTAAATAATATAAATATTTTAAATATCAATTTGGAATATTATTTAATATTTAAAAAAATTATATTTATTTATTAAGTGAAATTTATTAACTGAGAAGAAAAATTAATTAATATTATAATAATTTTAAGAAAGGGATAATTTTTTATTATGAAGTTGAGATTTTAAGGATTTGTTTGTTAAAATTAAAAATTGAAAATGTGTGTGTAGTGGAATTTTACAGAATAGAAGGAGTTGAAGCACGTTAGAGCATAGAAACTTGGTAGAGCTTTATAAGCAGTGACCTTTGGATCTGAAAAGGTGAGCCAGCCAGCACCAGCACTTTCATTCCCCGCCTTCTCCGCATTCATTCTCGTCTCTTCACATCAAATTCACAGCCACACATTCAACCACGACCAATACTACAACAACAACAGACAGACAAGTATTACTGTGAATTGAGCAGCGAAAATGGCTTCGGGATTGGTTTTCCGAGGGCACGAGGCCCAACCTGTCAACGACGCCTATTCCGCCAAGCCGCAAAAGCCATGGTTCTCCCTCCGCTACTTCTTCCGCGAGCAGCGACTCCATTTCCTCTTCTTCGGCATTCTCCTCGCCTCCGTCTTCTTCCTCCTCTTCCCCTCCCTCTCTTCTCCTCCCGTCCGGGCCCACGACCCACTCCCCGCTTCTCTCTCCGCCCGCCACGACTTAACGCACTGGATCACTACCAACACCCGAGCCTATGACGTGGCGGTGCATTCCTCGGGGAGGATCCCTCTAGGGATTAAACGCAGGGTGCGCCGGGTGGTGGTGACTGGCGGGGCCGGGTTCGTCGGGTCCCACTTAGTGGATCGGTTGATTAGCCGAGGAGACAGCGTGATCGTGGTTGACAATTTCTTCACTGGAAGGAAAGAAAACGTGATGCACCATTTTGGGAATCCGAGTTTCGAACTTATCCGACACGACGTCGTTGAGCCTCTCCTCTTTGAAGTAGACCAGATCTACCATCTCGCTTGTCCTGCCTCCCCTGTCCATTACAAGTTCAATCCCGTCAAGACTATTATATCCTTTCGTTTCCTTCTATTTAATTCTCTTAATTGCATTCTATTCGTCTTGATTACTACCGTTATTACGTTTAACAACTGCTTAATTTCTTCTCCCATGAAAATGTCCAAAGTTCTATGTACCGAAAGAACAGATTTAAATAATAACATCACTTTGGTCCATGTTGAATTGGATTTGGAAAATGGAATCCTTAATTGGGGTAGTGTTGCTCACAAGACCAACGTGGTGGGCACGTTGAACATGCTGGGGCTGGCTAAAAGGGTTGGCGCGAGGTTCCTGTTAACCAGTACCAGCGAGGTTTACGGAGATCCTCTGCAGCACCCTCAGAAGGAGACTTATTGGGGCAACGTCAATCCCATTGGTCAGTTCTCTCTCTTTTCTTTTTGTTTATTTGGGATGTACGCTAGCGTGTTAGACTCTCACATGCTCTGCACCAGCGATGGTTGGTTTGTTTAAATTAGAGTGATTGAGTGTCACGTGGCAACCGTGGCGTTGCGACAGCACAGCGTTGTCTGTGTGTTTTCCTTTTCAAACTTGGTACTTTTTCTAGGTGGGGTGGAGAAATGGTGAGTCAAAACCAAACCGAGACACTTGGGACTTCTTAAGTGGACCACGTTTTCCACACCCTGGGAAAATTCTCGTGGGATATCCATGATTCCAGGGTTCAGATCTTCGTTGGTCTCTGGTTCTCTTTTCACAACTTCAATTGCAACGATCGAAACAACTGAAATCCTTATCGTGGATGGTGGAAGGCCGGTAAGGAATGGTTGGTTGGTACTTGGCGTTATCGGTGAGGAGGGTGCTTTAACGGCTAACCTACAAAGCTACAACGTAGAAGGGTCAGCACCAAACATTCTGTTTGGTGTGGTAAAACAAAAAGGAAAGAAATAATAGAAATCACAGAACCAACCTAAAGAAGAAACCAGAGATAATTTTAGTTAACTTTTCAGAGTTCGGTAGTCTTTTTTGACTGGAACTGAAATTTTTAGTTTTTGTACTAGTCGACATCATGGATAAAATTATTAGAACCACAGTCTACCTTTACCTAGGGTGGGTATGCCATAAATACATAATTTTTTTAGTTGACTAGTTTGATATATAAATTTTACAATTTCTGTATGTAGTTTCATGAACTATTTCATTAACTGTTATTTAAATTTAAATTTTTAATATTAACACAAAAATACTAGTTGTATAGATTAATTTAACTGTTATTTTTAGTATTAATTATTGAAATAAACAATTTAAATGTCATGATACTTTTTATATTTAAATAATTTTTTGGTGAATTGTAGTTTAATAATATAAAATATTATACACACACACACACACACACACACACATATATATATATATATATATATATATATATATATATATATATATATATATATTTTAAAAAACAGTTTAATAGATTAGTAGACTTGTCGTTTATTCGTGTGTTTTCCATACCTGAAAGAACAAATCTATTTATTTTTTTAGTTGAATTTGTCCGACTCGTTTGAAAGCCACATACCCACCCTACTTTTAATAGGATTAATTGTTACTTTTTTATTTGTTAATATTTAATAGAAATGTTTTTGTTTTTATTAGAATAGGATTACAGATAAATAAATAAAATACATGTAAATATATCATAAAATTACTTTCTGTTCCATCTTTAGTTTCCAGAGGAGATTTAGATATTGAAGGCTTGCCAAAACTTTCATCTCGCAGGTTCTTTTTTTTCTATTAAGATGAACAAAAATAAAAATAAAAATGAACAAATATAATCTATAAATAGAATAAGAAATAGTAATTAGCTTCATGATATTTTACTCTATTTTTTTAGTTAATCCAATAACCAAATTTATTTCAATTAATTTTGTCTGTAATCTCACCCTTTTTTTTACCGGAAGGCCATTAAAGAGAGTGGTGATTTCTTGGTGGTTGTCTGACACGGTTGTACATGTTTGTGATAGGTGTTCGAAGCTGCTACGACGAGGGAAAGCGTACGGCTGATACGTTAACCATGGATTACCACAGAGGAGCTGGAGTCGAGGTCATTTTCCTTCAACTTATCACACCTACCTCTTAATTGTTTCTATTCTTCAATTTAATTAATTATTATCTATGTGTTTGCTTTTCTTTGCTAATGAATTTATTGTTTCAGCAATTTAAAATTATTATAAAACTTTATTTTTTTTTTTTCAGGTAAGAATAGCTAGGATTTTCAACACCTACGGGCCCAGAATGTGCTTAGACGATGGTCGCGTTGTTAGTAACTTCGTCGCTCAGGTAAGCCAGTTGGTTTGTTTTGAAGTATTTATGTGTTACATAAAGTACTTTGTGTTACAAAAAGAAATGCATGGACTTCTTAATAAAATAATATCGGTAATTGCTGGCGTTAATGCAGGCACTAAGAAAGGAGGCTTTGACCGTTTATGGGGATGGGAAGCAAACTAGAAGTTTCCAATACGTTTCTGATTTGGTAACTCATATATATACTTCTTTTTCTCTCTCATCCTAATCATGTTAATAAGTTATTATATCTAATTATGCACAACAAAAAATTCTTGGCATCATGCAATGAATCTTTTCTTCCGGGATCTACTCACGCATTAACTAGAATTGTGGTTGCGAGTCGTAATTTCAAAACAATTTAAGAGAGTCATGGTGAGAAGGCAGGGGTGGTGACAATTATAATAACGATATTATAATTCTGATAACAACTGTTCACGGTAATTCTGACTGTGACATCAGTAGTGGGGATAGATGTAATAGTGATGAGAAGTCTATCCGTGGAGGTGGTAGTAATGGCGATCAAGAGTACTAAATGCAAAGAATAGTCGCGTAATGCGTGGTAAGTTAAAATGTGTAATTTGAATGGAAGGCCTCAGACTTCAGAATTGTTAATGTCGGTTGTACTACAATTCCACTGTGTGAACCCATTTACCTAAAGATGTATTGTCATGTGATGGAGGTAAGTATGCAGTCCATTACATAATTGTTCGTGGGACGACAAAGTCTCCACTCTAAGTGGCAGCCTCGTTGTATGATAATTGATTAGTGATTCTTGCATTTTAAATGGTAAAATATCACTATAAATTAAGTTCTAGATCAGTATCCGTGAGAGATTACTGGTGCCTGGTTAGTTCAATTGGATCATTAACTCTAGAGCTCATGTGCCTTAATTTTGTTAGATTAATGAGGTGTTTATGATGTCGCAGGTGGAGGGGCTGATGCGCCTTATGGAAGGAGAACATGTAGGACCTTTCAATCTTGGAAATCCTGGTGAATTTACCATGCTTGAACTTGCCAAGGTAAAGTAGAGATTCTTGCTCTTAATAACGCACTCTAAGCTGACAAAACATATGATAAAACAGAGCTTACTTATACGAAAACATTTATTTAGGCATCATTGTTAGCAAGGGACACCAGTATTTTCTGGTATCATGTCTCTTTTCTTATTATCTTAACAAGTAAAACCGGGAATAAATGTCTCAACTAACCCACCCACGTAAGATTAGGGAAGTGACTTGGGGTAATTGGCAACAGAGAGGAAAGGGTTGTTTTTGTGATAAAATGCTTTACGGCTCACGAGCAATAAGATTGTATATTTGATGATGGTGATGCAGGTGGTTCAAGAAACAATAGATCCAGAGGCTAAGATAGACTACAGGCCAAACACAGAGGATGACCCACACATGAGAAAGCCTGATATCAGTAGGGCCAAGGAGCTACTGGGCTGGGAACCCAAGGTGGATCTACGCAAGGGACTCCCTCTAATGGTTTCTGACTTCCGACAACGCATTTTTGGGGACCAAAAGGAAGGAGCAACCTCTACCTAATTCTTGATTGGAAAATGAATATTGGAATTTGTTCTGCCAGTTACCTCAGACCAAGTGTGAAAGGAGATTGTAGTTTACATTTTTCATAGCATTAGCCAGATCGTAGTCCATTAGTCACAGTAGCTTGTCAGCCAAACATAAATTTCCGCTTGGTCCTTTATCCTCTACCATTTTTCTTAGAATGTACCATTGATGTCCTTATTGTATTTCTCTAATAGCAACCCTTGCTCCCCCCTTGTTAGATGGATACACGCTCACAATGTAATACGAAATCGGACATCTTCGATGCTGAAAAAACAGAAGTTTATGAACGACTAAAATTAATTACGAAATGGAAATTATGTCCCACATATTAAACAGACACCGTATTGTCTTGGACGCTTTTTCGTTTTAATCTCTGTTATTACATTATAGGGACTCGTACGTTTGTTTTGTTGGTATTATACTACTATTAGCCTGGTGCTAACATCATAAAATCTTATTGGCATGTCCTGTGAATTTTTTCTTGAAACGAGGCGAATTGGAGCTTTGGCACAGATCGCTTTACTTTTCAAAACAAACCGTGGGGAAAATAGCCATAACAGTGTACAGTCTCAAATCGCTTTACTTTTGGAAACAAGTTAGACTCCTATTAATTAGGCAAACATGGGGAAAATATGCCACATGGTCACAGGTCCTAACTCCTACCATATTAGGACTGCAATCTAAATTGCTGAGTGGTATAACAAGCGGTTTCCTTTCAAGCCACAGAGATAGCTTCTTCGCCCGTTTTCTTGCTTTACAAACTTTGCTGACGATGTAACTGTAGTCAATCTCTCGATGTCATACTTATAAGTCTCAATTTGTTGTGTAGAAGCATGAGTTGGATTGCCCGTGTGCTTATCTAGCCACATTATAATGTCTTCAAAAACTTTTTCGATGTTCTCATCCGTCTCCCCTGATGTTAAGCCATGCCACATTCCTGGGTACAATTTTATGGTCTTATCTTTGCTACTTGCCCTCTCATATAGTTCCCTGCTTATTTCTGGGTCGGTCACTGTATCTGCTTCTCCATGCAGTACAAAAAAAGGCAGGGTCACCTGCTCAAAAACAAAGCCAATGAATCAAACAAAATCAGGTATAATAAGTATATTTAAGAAGTCGTAATTTGATTATGAACTAGATTCAATAAAAACAAATGAGATTAAAACATAACCTTATATAAGCTGTCTTCTAGGCTCATGCTGGTTCTTAACATTTCCAGTGCTGTTTTCAGCCTGGGCTTGTCCTGGTATATCAACTTGTTTTTCCTTATCTGTAGTGACCCTCAGAGGAAAAGAAGAGACACATTAGTTAACTCCAGAACTAAATAAGCAAGATCTTAAGTCTTTAAGCAAGCCTCTTGTTGAGTTCGAGTGTGAAACGAAGAAACAGAAAAAAAAAAAAAAAAAAAAAGAAGAAAAAAGTGAAAACAGAGAGAAAAAAAAAATCTGAATATTTCGAGATTAAATTGATTCTACAAAGACAAGCTACTATATATAGCCAATCCAAACGACTGAAAACAAACAACAGAAAGATCAAACGATCGTTTAAGAAAAAACCGACCGAAGGTCGAGTACAATAAAAACGAAAAAACGAACGTACGAACCAAAACCGAATCCACAAGACCGAACGATCACAAAACAAAACATTCAGTCATAAAGAACCAGAACAAGCCGAATGGTTATCAGTATGAAACCGACCGTCCAAAGAATAATAGAAGAGTCTAGTCAACACCTCTCAATAACAATAGAAACTTGAAAATTTCACAAATATTGATGAAAGAGGTTGAACCCTACCCTCTTTCTTTTAGCAGGGTCTTTGAAGGCTGCATTGATGACATCCTTAGTGGGAACTATTTTCCACTTTGGGATTATATCTTCCACTTTAGTCAATAAGTTGATCACCACCGGGTGTGGCTTCACTTTCTCTGATATCTGGTTTATAGTTTCAACATTTGGATAAACACTGTTCAATTTCTTTTTTATAGCATTAGTAAGATTTATCTTCCCATGCTAAAATGAAGTTTTAGAAACTATTTAGGTCAATAAATGTTTCGTTTCATAGTGTCATAGTTTCATACCTTACACATGGGCGCAACAAGAACTGCACCGTCCCAGAATGAAGGGTCCTTTCTGTGCAAAAGTAGGCTCACTGCCCCTCCCATGGACTCTCCATACAAGAACCTAGCCTTCCCCTTATACTCTTGGAGCTCTGAAATACACACAATAAATCATAAAGCTGAACCAAAATTCTCATGTTTCATTGAGATGGAAGCTTACCGCCGACAGACTTGAAAAAGTCATAACAATCATTAACGATGTTATCGAACTTCTTTATGTAACAACGAGCACCTTCAGAACGTCCATGCCCTTCATAATCGATACCGTACACGGCATATTTAGCACACGCTAGTCTTACACCACATTCTACAACCATCATGCAACCAAACCAACAATGTAAGTAACTCTACTCATCATTTTTATTTTTGTTGTTGTTGATTGTCCAACATTGTTAATTATTTACATATCAGTGTAAATATAAATGCTTTTATCAGTTTTTGAATATTGTTTAGATCGTGATGAAAAATATTAATAAATTCGATGATCTGATAAAATAATCAAATTAAGTTTAAATTGTAATATCATATATGTTTCAATATGTCGATTTTTTTCAAATGTATAAATTTAGATAGTTGTTCACTATTATTAAGATAACTATAATTGGTAGCAACAAAATGATGTGACCATATTCTGCTTTGTCTGGCTGCCTCCCCACACCATGTCTAATTAATACTACCAACCTGCCATGGGATTTGATCACCCTCTCACTCTTTGCTCCTTTATTTTAATTAATTAATTAATAATAATCATAAAAAAATATATATAATAATAATAATAATGTAATAGTAAAAACCAGAAGAAAAAAAAGTTCGAGAAAAGATCTTATGAATAAAGCTGCGGAATACTAGCATCCACATGATACCTATGTTTGTGGAGTATCGATTCCATTAAGATTAAATGATACCGACTAAGATGAAAATGCTTTCATCACATTTTCAGAGCTTACAAGACAATTTATATCTCGTGAAAAAAAAAATACCACTATTAAATATTTTCAACATTATCTTTAACCAAATTCTTTTATTGGCTAATTTACATATATAACGAACAATCTCACTAATCATTTTAAATATGTAATTAGTTTCAAACCAGTTGATCTAAAAATAAAATTTAATTTTTTTAATTTGGACTAAATTAAAAATTAATTTAAAAGGCATTAAAAATAATAATTAAAACAAATGTTCAATCTTAAATATTGCAAGCGCTTTCTAACATCATATTAGAAACACCTAAGATAATTTATTGAAATATATTAAAGATAGTAAAGAATTGTATTGAAAGTATAAGTGACATTAATAAAAGAAAATTAAATAATCTGAAAAACTAGTTTTAAGTGCCTTATAAAACATCGTTGTGTTTATTAAGTTAATTTATAAACTAAGTTAATTAGTTGTTAGCACATTGACATTATTACATATATTTTTAATATAGTGTTTTTTTTTACATATTAAGATTTACATTTTAATACATTTCATTATTTTTTTATGTATTGTTATTTATTTCAATTCTGTAAAATATTTATAACATCAACTTATTTAAATAATAATATGAATTTTTGAAATAAAAACGTGTATACAACAATTAAAATAAATACAACTACTAAAAAGTTCATTCGAAATGTAATTATTTGAAAAAAAGAGCTAAAACTATATTTACATAATAATATAAAACACCTATGTGTTCATATTTTTTTTATAATAATAAAATTATTGTTGTCGTTGTTATTATAGTCATAAAATTAAAATAATTTTTGTAACTTTATTGTAAATAACAAAATGATTAATTTTTAAAAAACAATCAAGTAAAAAAAATGATTAAATTTAAAGAAATCATCACTTAAAAAATAAAATTAATAAAATAATTATTTTATGTCATTTTAAACTTAGTAACTAGATTATCAGTTATTTTACTAAACATTTTTAAGTTAATAAACTTGTTTATGAGCTGAAAATTTATATGTTGGAAATTTATTAACTAAGTAGCTTATCACTTACCAACTTTATTATGGACTAGTTTTGCAATAGAAACCCAACAAATTATATTTTTAAAAGAATGTTACTTATTTAATAATTTATGACTAAAGATGAAATCGAATAGAATTTGGAAATCATATAAGAAATTAAAAATTTATTAAATACAAGAATATTACAACTGTGATGAGTATGAGATTGGTGAATTAAATTTGAGTGAAAATAAAAAAAGAATGTAGAAAAGCTTTATCTTTTTTAGTAGGGTGTGAATTATAGTTGGATCACGGTAGTGCTTTATCTAAGGGGCATCTACACCATAAACTATCGCTTTCACTCCAACGCTACCCTTACGTAACAACACGCAATCCCATTCTTATTTTACACTTCATCAAATATTCAAATATTGCTACCCACACCTACCAATTCCTCAAACATCACACCTCTTCTTTTCTAACATATTATTTTCCTTTTTTTTCATGGAAACACTTTCAACCACTCACCACAACACCACAAATAGCTTCGCAATAAGGATTTAGGTCGGCGATGATAATAAAATCTTTTACAATAAAACATAAAACTTATTTATGTGTTTTTAAATTATAATTTTAAGTGGATAAAAGCAAAAATAATGTCAGAAAAAGGAAAAATATTCTGAAGGGAACAGAAAAAGAGATGGAAGAAGATCATTAATTACCTCTCATGAAGCCACTGCACTCCATGCCATAACCTGCAAGAAATAATTAATGAAACCTATGTAAATTAAGTTAAGCCACACCTACTACTAAGAGAGAGAGAGAAAAGTAGTGAATTACTGACCATGGCAAAGGAAAACCAGACCCATGGGAGAAGATGAAGGTAACCATTTACAGGTGAAAAGTTGCACTCCCCTTGAGTTTCTTCTGTATTCCTGAACTTACAAATTGTACAATCTCCATGTTAGATAATTAAGAAAGGAAGACGAAGAAGAAGAAAACATAAGAGTGTGCAGAAATAATGAAGAGAAAGAAAGGGAAGAGTTACTTCGTGATATTCAAAATCTAAATCCATGGAAGAGATTGCACCGAGTGTTGATGGATCTGTAAACTGCACTTCTGCTTCAGTGTGTAACTCGGTGTGATGAAAGTCGTGAATTAATGCAGAGAAATAGCAGAGAAAAGTCGGATAGCAGAGAAAGAGAAGAAGAGAAGAAGAGAAGAGAGANCTAAGAGAGAGAGAGAGAAAGAGAGAGAAAAAAGTAGTGAATTACTGACCATGGCAAAGGAAAACCAGACCCATGGGAGAAGATGAAGGTAACCATTTACAGGTGAAAAGTTGCACTCCCCTTGAGTTTCTTCTGTATTCCTGAACTTACAAATTGTACAATCTCCATGTTAGATAATTAAGAAAGGAAGACGAAGAAGAAGAAAACATAAGAGTGTGCAGAAATAATGAAGAGAAAGAAAGGGAAGAGTTACTTCGTGATATTCAAAATCTAAATCCATGGAAGAGATTGCACCGAGTGTTGATGGATCTGTAAACTGCACTTCTGCTTCAGTGTGTAACTCGGTGTGATGAAAGTCGTGAATTAATGCAGAGAAATAGCAGAGAAAAGTCGGATAGCAGAGAAAGAGAAGAAGAGAAGAAGAGAAGAGAGAAAGAAGAAGAATAAAGCTTAGAGTCTCGTCCCTTTGGAAAGAGACTGTAGCGAAGTTTCTTGTATATAAAAACATTCATTATTATTTTTTTTCCATTAATATATAACTTTGATCAGTACCTTTTAATATTGTACTTTTTTTTTAGTTTTTTTTAATAATGAACTGTTGACCTAATCTATCGATAATTTTTACATGTGTAACATAATCCTATATTAAAATAAGTTTTTAACAACTAATTAATTGTAACCTTGATATCTTTAATTCTCTTTAAAATTAAATTAATTATTTCTTAACTTGGCTTTATTGTTGATACTGATATTTGAAGCTTGTTTAAAACATACCCCTAATATACATTGTGTTTTATTGATGTTTTAATATTTTGATCATTAATTTTGTAAAGAAATTATAATTTTGTACTCAAAAGTCATTCACTGATTAATATAATTTAATTTTTTTAAAGAATAGTATGATAAGAAAAAGGAAAAATGGTTAAAATTTGTTTATACATATAAGAAAAAAAAAGGTTTTCTTCCTTATACATTAAAACTAAATGTTTAATGTTTTTAAATTTCATTCGTTAAAACAATTTAAGTAACTGATTCATAAATTTCATGCAAATTTTTAATATTTTTATTATTTGAAAAAAAATAAAACTCTCAATACATAAATTTGGTACAAAAAAAAAATCATATTAACGTCTTCAAAATTAAAATTTTAACCTATATTTAAAATTTATTTATTTTATATTTTAAAAATAGTTATAGAAGTTTGCCAAAACAAATTCAGGGACCTGTTTTAATAAGAGATAATAAACTTAAAATAACATACCACAAAAAGTTCATGTTAAAATTCTATAAGAATGTTTTTAACACATTTTTTTATCTGTTAACGTTTATTAAACTTACATAAAATAAATTATATATATATAAGACATAGTAAGATTCATGATACTTTATTATTTTTAATGAAATTTAATAAATGAAAAATGTTCAGAAAATGTTTTTGTAACATTCTTAACAAATACCAGTATTACCAAACACTTACTTGTCTGAACATATTAACGTCTACATGCATTAATAGTATGCTTTATTTGGTAAAACATTTAACCTGTACAAAATTTTTATTGTTATGATATTTATTTTATTAAATGACGTGGATTTATGAAAGAATTTAATGGTATAGTTAAAAAGGTAAAGAATTATATGTTGAAGAGAAGTCAATAGTGTTGTTTTTCTTTCACTAGAAGCAATAATGCGGTAGGCTGAGCTTAATAAACTCAATAAACTTTTCAAATTTTAATTTCTTCTAATAGTACAGGCTGCTTCTCGATCAATCTTTCTTCATACATAAATGCTGCTCTTTTTTAAAACAAATATAAATAAATTTAATTTATTTTAATTATATTTGATGATATCGTTTTAAATTATTTTGATTTTAATTAGTATCGTGTTTTAAAGTTTTTTTTTATAGCATTTCTCTGTGATAGATGTTACAAAATTATTGAGCTGAGATTAATAAAATTAAATGATATCGATTTCTTTTTAATTAGTGTAAAATTCAACATTTTTATCAAGTTAAAAAAATGTACAATACAACTATGTTTTTCGTACTAGAAATTAAATCAATTTTATAATTTATGAGAAAGATATGTCATTAGTCGCAAAAAAACAAAATTTATTACAGAGTAATTATGTCTTTTTAATTTAATTAAGTTGACGTGATTTTGGATAGTTATGCACCCTATGTCGTGCTATCAACATGCAGATACTTTCGAAGTTCATCAAACGCTGGGATATTCAAACGAGTCAATTTGTTTTACATGGCTTAAGTTTTGTTAAAGAGAATTAGTTTAATTTAATTAATTTTTTTAAGTTAAAATTTTTAATCTAATTTGATCCATCATTAAATGGTTTGACTGATTTAAATATATTTTTTATTTATAACCAATTTGATTCATCACAAAGTCCAAATTCGAATCCAGGACTCTCACAATTTTCTTTAATGAAACAACATAACAACAATAATCCAGTTTTTTTTTTCAAAATAAAACAATGGTATTTTGGTCTTTTCCTATAAATAAATAGTTAACAAATCTTTCCAAGTTAGGTGAATCGCTAGTTCGTGTCTCACCCAAATCAACACCGTCAAATCTCCTCACATACATAAAAACAAATAAGAGCGGATGAAAAATTCATCTTCACACCTGTTTAAATAGTCTGCGCATGAAAACAAGCATAGTATAAGTTGATAAACTA